GTAATTAGTACATAATATACCAAGAAGGAAATGAAGCACCTTAGAAGGAAGAGGTGGGCAAGCTAGTTTCCATCAGTTGAGAGCCTGACCTCATGTTCCTTGTTACTTGTGAACTGCAAAGCAGAAGAATACCACTGGTACGACTCGCAGATAGACTGCTAGAATCTGCAAAGGTTCGGGAAACCTCATTCCCTCTAGTTAATAAAAAGTAAAGCGAATGAAAGTCTCCCCCTTTTTTTTCTTCTTCTTCATTTTAACTGGGGCTGTCCAAGTGAGTATTTCAGCTGCCATCTCTGCCCGCATCTTCCTGCACTGAGCACTGCTCTCCCAGTGCTTTCTGACAGCTTTTATAGTACACAGTGAAGGTTTTATTGAATACTCACCTCTGAGGACAAGAATAAAACAGTCATAACTTGGAGGTGGAGGTTACTTCAACAACTTTACACAAACTTGGCAGAATGCTCATTGTTTGTGTTTTGGATTAAAGCAGCCCTTTTAATGACTAATTTTATCCATTACTAAGGGCAGATGGAAAATGAGCGAAACTGATTCCAGTGAGAGCAGTGTCCAAACTCCTGTTGACGTGACACAGTCATACACACTCCACCTTCTAGCAAGCAGCCATAGCTTTAGCTGGATTCCTGCCTCTGTGCCATTCCAAAAGGCTCATCATCTTCCACGGGCCAGTTGTGTCACCAGAGGTGACTTCAGGCTATAAGTTCTCCTACATGATCCCAGATAAACCTGCAATTCTCCAGGTGCAAAAAGGACTGAAATAGCCTGTGCCTCCCCTTGCCTCCAACCACCTTCAGTCAGAAGGCTTAAAGTTGCATGTTGCAGTGCATGGTTAGGAAGAGCTCTCTCCTTTCTCCACTGCATGCTCAGCTCTCTCTGGAGTTTGCACACATACTTGCCGTCACAGATGTTTCCATCCTCACACTCCTTGCTGCATGAAAAGCATCAGCCAGAAAGAGGATGGGAAAGGGACAGAAGCCTGCAGAAGAACCAGAGGAGCTGGTGGTAGCTTTGGTTCCTTTTGTCTTGCAGGAGCAGAGGTAGAAACAAGCAGAGGATGCCTGAGATGCGAGCAGATGATACAGCCTTGTACACATGGAGCATTCCCTGGTATCAGCTGTGCTCCTGTAAGAGTGAGGCTCTGTCACACAGGACCTAAATCAAAGCCCACAGAAGACAGGACTCAGTGCTTCAGCCCAGCCCTACATTCAACAACAACCTGTCCGCAGCCACAGTGGAAACTTACACAGCAAAAACCTGTAGCTCAGCGCTATAAATCCCAAACTTTCCATTTCCAGTTACATCAGTGAAATGCCTTTTTTTTTTTTTTTAAAAAAAAAAATTCTTGCTATTATTTAAAGTGCTCTTGTAAAATGGTAAAATACATTTAATATCTGAACATAGGAATAAAACCTAGATTTGAGATAGTGGCAGCAATTTTCATGTTTACAATAAAAAGCCGCTGTGAATGACAAGGAAAAGTAACTCAGCACCATTAAGGCTGTCATCTTCCTCCAAGGACTCAGTGCAGGAAACATTCTTCATCACAGTCACTGCAAAAGACAGAACAGTGAATCTGTGATTTTTTTCATGAATATGCACAGTGGTGCTCAATGGGAGCTCAAGCATAGCACAAATTCTGCTCTATTTAAATTATCTTTTCACAGCATAGACACACAAAATGCTTTTTCACACTAACGGTGCTGAGGCACTGGCACAGGTTGCTCAGAGGTGGTGGATGCTCCATCCCTGGAGACACTCAAGGTCAGGCTGGATGGGCTCTGAGCACCTGATGGAGCTGTAGATGTCCCTGTTCACTGCAGGGGAGCTGGATTAGATAGCCTTTAAGGGTCCCTTCCAACTCTATGGATTCTATGAATGAAGTATTTGAGCTCATAGACCATTTTTGAGATAATGAAAGACTGGAAATCCAAGGTCCACCTAATAAAATCCTCAGAAATAAATGGCTAATGCTTTCTTTCTTCCTAGATTCAGTGCCCCATCATCCAAAACACCTAGAGAGTCTTTTATTTCAGTGCTGAATTTGAGGACACAAATGCTGAACTGTCTTCCACAATATTTACAGCCAAGCCATGGGCTGATCAACTTCAAAAGATGATTTAATAAATAAAGGGAAAACCCAAATCATGATCCAAGTTTCAAATTTTGCAGTCTCTTGGTAGTTATTAAAAGAATATGATTAAAATCCTAACTGTCACTAAAATAGCCCAATTTTTAACTCTATTCACAACATTTTAACCCATACAATGATGGCTTTAAAAGGACCCAAAGTCCTTGAAGGAATTTACCAGTTCAGAAAAGCACTGGCTTCTTAGGGCAAAACTTTCATAGAATCATAGAATGGCTTGAGTTGAAAAGGACCACAATGATCATCACGTTTCAACCCCCTGCTATGTGCAGGGTCACCAACCAGCACAGCAGGCTGCCCAGAGCCACATCCAGCCTGGCCTTGAATGCCTCCAGGGATGCACTTAATGGGGGATTTCCAGTTAACGGGGCTTGTGGCTTCAGGACACTCCCTAAACACTGCACACCTTCCTGCCATAGGGATAGACACAGATATGGTGGCCTAAAGGATCATTCATAACCTGGCACAGAAAAAGGAGGAGGATTATACAGAGTGGAACTGCTAAACAGTTACAAGCGATATTTGAGTTATTCAAACGATGATTTTTTCTGATTAGAAATGGTTGTGCATACTTGGGTCTGGATTTATCTTTAGTTAAATACCATTTAAATTCATGTTAAGTCACCACGCTCACTACATCAGCCTGCAGATTGAATCAGCTCCTTGCTTCCTTCAAAGGACTGTTTACACACTTAAAACAAATACCATCTTATGCGATTGCTGGATAAAGAGAGAGTTAGAAACTAATCGGGCGTAAGTCACATCTCACTTAAAAGTCAGCAAACAAGCGTGAACAAATGGTACCCAATGTTTTGCAGAAAAATATTCCCACCCATTTTCACCACCCAGAGCCCAATCCCGGATGGAAAACCTGCAAGTAAACATCGACCTTTGTGGGCACAGGTAAAAACAAGGCTTAAGCTCTCCTTACAAAACATGGCAGTGACACAGCGTAAAGTACTTGAGGGGGAAAAAAAGAGAGCACTGTAGCACTTACCACACCCAGGAGGGGCTGGAAATATGAAGAGGAATGCTGAAATTTACCCGAAAGCATCCATGCTTTCAGCACCCTGATCTAGCTGTAGGTGTCCCCTACAGCTGGGGCGTTGGACTAGATGGCCTTTCATGGGCCCTTCCAAGTGAAATGACTCTATGATCGTGTGGTACAGAACGTGGATAAAGAGAGGTCATCAATCACTTTTTCTGCAATCAGTGTTAAGAGATCACAGGAATAAGAGGAGTGGGACACTTGCAGCTCAGCTGAAGACATCAATGAACAAGCACAAAAATCCCATAGTTGAAAGAGTGGCCGCAGCACTATGTGCCAAATACCATCTCCCATCCATTTCATTTTGAAATGTAAGGGGAAAAATAAAAATAACCGAGCAGTTTCAAACTCTCTGTAGGTGAAGAGAGAGTCTGTTGGTTTGTTCTCTTTTTCCAGGTTTGTACACTGTGGGTTTTTTCTTTTTTTTTAAATGATGTTTTTCCAGCAGTCACCCAACCTCAATAAATGCTCCTTTTCATAGTGGAAATAACCCAGCACAGCCTCTCCTGTGGAAATATTTAAACCTGGCATGACCAAGTTCGTCCCCAGCCTCAGACAGTCTGACTGATCTGTAATGAGTCACTTCTATTGATGAAGAGGTGGAAGACGAGCACAAAAGGAAATCTATTTAAAAAGCAGTTTTCTACCCTTCATAACGCATAAAGAAGAGGAAATAGGAAAATAGGGTCGTTTTATGCTACTTCCTTTCTATAATTTTATTGACTGTTAATCTACATGATTAATAAAAGTTACTCCATTCTGTGAAGATTAAAAGATCTTACAGTATAAAATTCCCTGAGATACTTCTGCGAGTTAAAGGATCACCCACATTTCTATATTCCACTTATAATCAAAAAGTAATTAACTTTATGAAAAACAGCACATGATCTTTCTGTCTCTCCCTCCTCCTCAACATTTCAAGGCATGGAATCAAACAGATTTAAAAGCATATTCGTCAAGATTTCTCTATTTAGACTGGAAGATAAATCTGCTTAATTTTTATAGACTGATCACATACTTCACCTGCAGGGCCTTGTGGAGTCTGGTACCTGATCTGCAATCCAATTTGCTATGACACATTTCTCATTTATCACTGAACTTGGCCTCTACAAAGTGAGTTACAAAGGACAGCGCTCAGTTTCTAACAGCGCTCAATTATTAGGTTAGTTCTGTGAGCCCAAGGAACGGATGAACTAAAAGCCAATATGGCCTCAAAGAGTTGCTGTATTATTGACTTCAGCAGCCATAGACCAGAACCAAACTTCCTCCCGAATCTAACGGGAAAAGTGTGCAATGCTTATGCAAGAACAGTGAAACTGCAATAATTATTACAACACTGCAGTTCTCATTATACAATTTGTGAAAATATTCAACGCATATCTTACAAATTGAGCACAGTTGTGGTTATCTCATTCCAAAATGATGTTCTGATCGTTGCACAGCTGTTTTCTGAAGTTTACAAAACTCATTTCCACCACAATTTCAGGAAGAGAAGCTGAGAATAAAGGACGGCTGCAATCTGTGGAAATTCCCATGCTCCTGGAGTCTCATCTTCTGCCTGTGGCATTACTACTGATAGAACTGAGTCGTGTGCCTCTAAACTCTCAGGAAACATTTAAAAACTTAGAAGGACTGAGAAAAAGAAGCACTATTTTGGGCAGACTGATAAGAAGCAGTGCAATCTTCACCTTTTTAAAGACTGCTCACTGCTTTGAAGATCAGGTTTTGATGTACACACACGCACACTGCCATAAAAAGCAAAAGGAAAAAATGACAAAGAGACAGTGATTGTATTATCCTGGCACTCAGCTGTTAGGTTTATGCTATCCTTGGAATTGTACTTTTAGAATAATAAAAACCAATTTATTTTACCAGCTGGCAGGGCAGCAGAAGATCTTGCAAGTGAGGATCACGACTGTGCTCTGAACAACCCTTTCAGAAGAGCTGGAATTAAAGCACAGCATCAGGAACACCCCAACAACACCCTGCATTGCACTGAGTCCTCTGCTTTCCCAATAAAATCTCTCCGGCAGCTCTGGCACAAACAACAGCCACATTCAGAAGTGCTTTTAACCATCTTTCCCTGCACAAAAGCAGATAACAATAAAAGCAGGGCCTTCCAAGCTCTGCCCCAGCAAACCTGTGCAAAAGTATTCATAAGCTGTAACACTGTAACAGATTTTTTTTCCCAATATTCTTCAGTTCCACACTTACACAATTACTGGGCACAGGTAACTTAAAATGCAGCTGCTAAGTTTCAACAGCATCCACCTGGCAGCCCTCATTGCTCAAATCAAACCTCATCCCATTCTAACCTAAATAAATCTCACACATTGAGCTTTCACTTGCATCTAACTTTCTTCTCTCCCCACCTGCCTGGTGCCCTTGATTTTATTCCACTGTGGCAGCCAGCAAAGGAAGAACTGCAATGCTCTGGGCAGACCGCGTGAGGAAGTGGCAGCCTAGAGTTCTAGGAACAGACTGAAAAAAAAAATGAGGTGGAGGAAATCCCCAAAACCAAATGTAAAGAACAGTAACTTTCTTCTTTCTCTTCATATACTTCCTTCATATAACCTGTGTTTCAGCAGCAGTTTAGACCTTACTGTCTACAGTAATTCTCCTTCTGGGAGGTAGCATTTGGGGACTTAACTTTGGTATCTTTGTTGCCATTATTGCTGTACACACAACAGAAAGTTAGCCTTCCCATGTACAGATTGAGTACAGCAATAAAACCCTGCCATCTTGAGCCTTTCCCTGCTTTTTCTTATATGGCAGTAATCTTGCATTGAAAAACATGCAGTCTCCTGTAAACATTCTCTAATTCCTGAATAAAGGGAGGGTGGAAATGTTCCTGCTTTCTGTCTGCCTTCTGTCTTTTCCTGTACTTGAAGCTCTTCTCTGCTTTCAAAAAGGACAACTGTGCTCACAATAAATACTTTCTGCCATCTGAGCTGTTTGTTCCACTCAAACCCTTCCATACCCTTTTTCCTACATGGAATTTTTATTTGGCTCAAAGAATTATTATTTGGCTGCTGCAATTTAAAACTGCTAAAAAGTGCTACCGTATCATCACATTCTTAAGTTCAACATTTGTGGCTCAGCATTTGTCAGCAAATAGCTCTGATTTTCATAATAATCACCATTGGAAATATTTGCTTTTGTCTTTGGAACGCAGAAAGCCAGCACTGATCGCGTATCCCCCATACGCAAAAGAAAGTTTCACGGTCCAGGAAGCTGTCATAGCTGACAAAATTGGTTCCAGCTGCACAGCTGAAGGACTTGGCATAGGTTATTCTGCAAACAACTGCAAAGGTTTCAGACCAGCACGACTGCTGAAAGTTTAGCTTCGCTCTTGCAGAATCGCCTTGCCTGATGCTTCTCCGTAATTTCATTTTGCACCGTAATAAAAATCTTCTTCTTCGTTTGTTTACCTCTATCTGTATGCTTTTCTCACTGAGGACAGACTGGCTCTGGCAGGCAGGAGGTCTCACAGGGTTTCCCTGTACCTCAGTGCATTCGCTGTTGGGAGAAGCTGGCTGAGCTCGCCTCGGGAACATCAGCTTTCAAACCAGCTGGCCAGATTCCGTACCGTCTTCAATTGATCCCCCGCCGTCCTCACGGCCTCGCACACCTTGCAGTAATGCTCGTCCCAGAAAGACGTGACGTGGACGTCGTACTTGTTCCGCCAGGCGAAATACCTCCTGTAGCTGGGCTTGTTTTTATCGAGGAACTTCAGGTAGGTGGCCAGCAGCCGCGGGCTGGGGAAGTCGTCCACGTGGATGAAGGAGTCGGCGGGGATGAAGCGCTCGTAGTTGGCCCTGCGGGGGCCAAGGACAACGGGCACAGCGCTGGCGGCGAAGGCGTTCCTCCAGAGCTTCTCGGTGATGTAGTCGGTGTGCTGGGAGTTCTCGAAGGCCAGGTAGAACTTGTAGGCCGACACCGTCTTCACCACGCTGCCCTCCAGCAGCGCCATCCCGCGCGCCCCGTACACGTCGATGGGCAGGTGCTCCTTCAGCTGCCGGTAGTAGCGCACGCGGGCGTGCTCCTCGTTCCAGTTGCTGATGACCCAGGCCACCAGCCGGCTCTTGCGGGGCGGCACGAAGGGCCGCGGCGTCGGCGGCACGTACAGATAGCCGTAGGGCACGAAGACGTCCGAGTCCCGCCGGTAGGACATGGTCCAGTTGAAGAGCCCGGCCAGGCCCCGCAGCCCGGGGGAGTGCGAGGGCGACTCGAAGTTCATCCACACCCACAGCTGCCGCGGGGGTCGCGGCGGGGGCCCGCGGGGCAGCCCCTGGGCGCCGTGCAGCGCCAGGTCGCGGTGGTGGAAGAGCACGGCCCGCGCCTCGCCGTACCGCCCGCGGTCGGCGCTCAGGCGGCAGCCCGTGACGTTGTAGCGCCGCCGGCAGTCGGCCGGGCGCCGGGGGCGGCCGAAGGGCTCCCACCACAGCAGCACGGTCACCTCGCCCTCGGACCGGCCCGCCGCCGAGCCGTGCCGCCGCAGCTCCCGCAGGCAGGCGTACAGCAACAGCGCGGCGCCCAGCAGCGCGCCCAGCAGCGCCCAGCGCCGCCGCCACCTCCGCGCACAGCCCGGCCGGGCGGCGGGGCTCCGCCGGGGGCCCGGCTCCATCGAGCCTGCCAGCTGCCGCCCAGGGGGAGCCGCGGGGCCCGGGCCGCCCGGCGCATGCTGCTGCTGCTGCTGCTGCCGCCGCCGCCTCTCAGCGCCCACCCCCGGGCCGGGCCCGACACACGGCAGCGCGGAACCACTGGGCTGGGACGTGGAGATGCAGCCCCCCCCGGCCACGCCGGCCATCCTGTCCCACCCCGCGGCTGCCTGCCCCTCTGCGCCGGCCCCAGCCCCGGTCCGCCCCTCGGTGCCGCACGGCCCCGCCCGCGGGAGCTCGAGGGCCGCCTCGGCCATCTCTACTCTCGCCATCCCCTCCCATCCCGCCCCAGGCAGCCGCAGAGGTTCAGCTGGAGCTGAAGGGCTTTCCCTTCGTGTATCAGGGACAGACCTTGGGGCATTTTGATGCCCCAGCCCTGGAGGTGCCCAAGGCCGGGCTGGATGGACCTTGGGCAGCCTGAGCAGCTGGTGGGGGCAACCAAACCATGGCAGGGGTTGGGGCTGGGTGATGTTTAAGGTCTCTTCCAATCCAAACCATCCTGTGACTCTGACTTTTAAAAAGGTCATATTTGCAAGAGGGAAGTTGAGTAAAGTTTTGAATAAATTACTCATCTAGGGAAAAAAAGATAAAATAAGAGGAAGAGACAGCGGCCACAGGAGATTTGACTTCCTGCCAACTGCACTAGCTTCAAGCAGCTGTAAGAGGATTAACAAGTTGGAAAAGCAATAATAATTGTAAAAAAAAATAACAATAATTCAAAGAAGAGGATTTCTTAAAATAACTTTATTGTCATTTTAAGACTTTATTGGAACCCAAATGTCTGCATTTAGTTTTTAAATCTCACAGCTATTTACAGTTTTTATGGTTACCAAGAAATCACTTTTCACAGCTCTGCTTTGGAGGAAAGTATGAAGAAGCCTATCAAATAGACCACCTGAGATGTATTTCCCAGTCATTTGCTTCAGTGAACCAAGAGGTCATTGATTCTCACACCTTGGAGGAAGAAAAATAATGGCCTCAATTTGAGCCAGGGAAAGTTCACATTGGAATAATTTCTTTCCGGAAAGAATGGTGAGGCACTGGCACAGGCTGCCCAGGGAGGTGGTGCAGTCACCATCCCTGGAGGTGTTCAGGAACCATGGAGATGTGGTGCTGAGGGATTTGGTGTGTGGGCATGGTTGGGGGCTGGGGTTGGACATCGTGCTCTTAGTGGTCTTTTCCAACTTTAATGATTCTATGATTGGAGTATTTTTTGAAACTGTGCATTGTGTACCCAACAGCTGAAGATCCAAGGTCCTTTCATGTGAACACATTGAGGGCAGCAAAGTTACATCAGGAATAAATTCCCCTTGAGTGTTTGAATTGCAGCACAGCATGTGCATACCACATAGGTCTTTGTGACCCATCTCTGTGTTAGTCAGGAGAGTAATTCAAGCTCTACCTCAGAAACAAGGAACAGTTATGTGTGTGGGTGGTGTTATATTAGTAACTAGGTCACGACCATCTGTAAACTTAATAACCACACATAAACAGGATAGTTTGTGTTAGAAGGGACCTTAAAGGTCATACAGTTCCAATTTCTGCCATGGGTTGGTTGCCCCCACCAGCTCAGGCTGCCCAGGGCCCTGTCCAGCCTGACCCTGAGCACCTCCAGGGACGGGGCACCACAGCTCTACGGACAGCAGTGCCAGGGCATCACTGCCCTCTAAGAAAAGAACTTCAGAAGGATTCAGAGTAAAGAACTTCACTTGAAGACTTCTATTGCTGTGGTCTAAGCACTCTTAAAAACAAACAAACAAACAACAACAAAAAAAAAAAAAACCACAAAAAAAAAACAGAAAAACCAGAAAAACCAACAGCTGTGGTTATGGCCAGTACTGTCTGTGCTCTGAACTAGTGCTGGCCAGAAGGGCTCTCTAGAGGTCACTACTCAGGGAGGACCGATGCTGCCTTGACTAACAGCAAGAAGTTGAAAATATTCAAGGCCAGAGACTCCAGCAGACCTCTGGCAGCCTGTGCCACTGCAGTGCCACCCTCTTGAAGATTTTTTTCCTAATGTCCAACACTGAACCTCCCAGCTTGTAGTTTGTGGCTGTTGCCCCTTGTCATCTTCTTAACACCTTCAGGCAGTTGTTGACTGCTATTAAATCATACCTTTGCCTCCTTTTCTCAAGACTAAAGAGCTCAGTCTCTCATTTTATGTGCTGTAGGGCCGCACATCATCTCAGTAGCCTTCCACTGGACTCCCTTCATGTTCTCAACTTCCAATTGAAGTGAGAGGCTGAAAGCGGGCACAATATACCAGGTTCCTCCTCAAAAATGCTGAGCACAGAGGGATGATTACTGCCCTCAATCTGCTGCATGCATATCTGATGTTGCTCAGCATATGGCTTGCTTTACTTTTAAGGAGAGCTCATAGTTGGCTCACATTCAACTTACTGTTCATAAAGCCCCCAGGTTCTTTCCAGCATGGCTGTTTATCAGCCAGCCTGTTCCCTCCCTGCACCAGTGTATTGGAGTTTTCTGCTCTATGTGCAGAATGTTTTCTCTTCACTGAGTTTCCCAAGATTTCTGTTGGCTCAGCCTATGTTTCTCCAGGAGTCTCTGAATTGAAGTTGTTCAAATCAGCATGTCAACCTCTTCATGTCTTCAACATGATGTGCTTGCTACCTAACAGCAAAGCAAAACAACAAAATCACAGGACCTGCCCGGACAAACAACACTGGTTTTAGTCACAAAACAGGAATTTTGGTTCTTTAGCCATTTCTGCAGGTAATGTGAGAAATTTTGGACCCATGAAGGTCAGAGGTTGACTTCTGTTGAATCTTGATTCACCCAATATATTTGATTGTATCAGCAGCAATGGCAGTTCTTATTTTCCTTCAGGAACATACACTTGATATATGACTTTGGAGAAAGCTACACCAGATTCTACTTGCCTAGTCTAGTTTTCATTCCTGTTCCTTGAAGATGTATTGCTAAGTTCTATAACCTGGCCAATTAGAGTCTACTGATCATGCCATACCCAATCCTACATAAAGTGAAGTCAATAAAAATATTGTAATTAATTCTGGGGTTGTGAAACAACTTAACATAGAGGTACCTACAAACCAAGCAGTGACAGCTTTGAAAAAAAAAAGAATTTGCAGCCCTTCTTTCGCAAATTGCACTTCAACCAGAGCTGGGAATATGGTGGCTCATACAGCATTTGGCTTTACTAAATTTCTTTTGCACAAAGGTAGTTGTTTCTTTTTTCAAGCAGTTTTGTTCCCCCTGACTTGGGAACTGACACTGACACTGACACTGCTTTTGGAGATTAACCAGCCCAGGACATAGCTGTGGGCTGAGGACCATGCACACTTTTTCTACTGCATACACAGGGAACTGTGGTTTAAGCGCTCCATGGAAATTGCAGTAGCTCCACTCTTGCTGATAGCCAGGAATTTAAAACAAAATGCTATCTGTTGGTAACGAAACTGTTGCAAAATAAAAAATATTTTGCTTATTTGAAGGCTAAATGTTTGCAGTCTCTAACAGTGGTAGATGTGTTTTCCCAGCTGGCTTCCTCTTGTGCTCTGACTCACTTTGTTTTGTTACACAGAAGAAGCATTTAAGCCTAGAAGACTCTTTGAAGTTATTTGTCAACTGTCTTGAAAACAGTTGACTTGAAAATGTACTGAAAGATGTTGCATTTTCACCCATAGCTATCAAGTCACTTGTTCTATCAACCAGGGAAATCCTGTGCATTTCTCATCCTAAAAGAATGTGACCAGCTTGAAAGAGCAGCAGGATCTATTTCGTACCAAAATGACACTTATGAGTGGCTTTGAAATCTCTTCTTCTTAAGTAGCTCCTGTGATAGCAATGCAAGTTTTTGTCAAGTAAGGCCCTACATCCTCTCTGAAAAAGAGTGATAAAAGTTTCATTCTGTATAAATTGCATGCTGTATTTTAGTATAAAATGTAAAATGCCTGTAATTTGATTGACTATTTTTTAAGTTAGGGATTATGATCTTTCTGCTTGGAAGTTTAACATTCTAAAGTATGACCAGAGATAAAATATTCAGTTGAAAGGTGATGCCCATCTCATTGGACGAACAACTTCTGAACAGACGAGCCCAAGTGACTGCACATGAAAGAAATGTGATGTTAAAATATTCTGCCTGGCTACAGTTCCACTTATGACTGAGCAGGGATGTATTACAGCTGTCTAAAGTTGACTTTTCCAGTTCAAGGCACAGGCATAGACAGCTTTGCTGTGCACACTGTAGGTGGAGGATCCTGTCCCAGCACACTTCTACCTTCTGGTGCAGCACTCATCTTTGTTCACTGGTATAGATCAGAGCCAAAATTGGAGCAGCCATCCTTCCTGCCAAAACCACACAGTCCTCAGGTAATCTGACAGGTGTGTACTATCAAGCTGAAACGTGGCTCAGTGGATATTTGTTAGCAGTTAGCATGGATGTTCCAGCGGGGGGACTGGACTAGATAATCTTTCGAGGTCCCTTCCAATCCCTGACATTCTGTGATTTTCAGCCTTGTGTTCTGGAGCACTGAATGGCATCTTAAGCAGCAACAGTGGCAGCCATTCATAGAAAGCAGGCGAGACCTCTGATTCCAGGGGGATGCTCAGATGCTCTCACTTTACCCACTGCGCATCCGACAGGCCCAAGTGCAAAGGTTTGTGATGGAGCTTTTCTCCAGGCATCTTTGAACCTCAAGCACTGTAGGGGCATTTCAGTCCAGGAAACAAGAGTAGCTCTAGTTTCAGGCCAATCTAATAGTTATGGGGCCCTCACATCAGTCGCTTTAATATATTGATCCCTTTCCACTATACCTCATTACTTGATAGTGTAGACACAGCCTATGAGAGATGTCAGTGCTTGAATGCTTACTACTGTGTGGAAGCAATAACTGCTGTCTCTCAGAACTGCAATGTTTAATTTGGAAATGAAATAATATAAAACAAGGATGAGAAAAGAGTAGCTGAATGGTTAGAATGAAAA